GACATCAAAATTATATAAATTCTCAAGAATGATGTGTAGTTTCTTCTTCTTTCTGTTCTTTTTTACACATTTGAAAAGACAGGGATGTGTATTTCTTAAACTGTGTTAGAGTTCACGTCTGAAAGCATTTAGATGTGGTGCCTATTTGGGAGTTTGTTTTTACTTTTCTGTTCGTTTCTATTTATCTGCTTCATTTCATAATTATAGATTGATTTAGGGATTGTAGTTATTTTTTAGTTACTTGGAATAATTTATATTTTATGGAAAATTATTCATCTCAGATTTTGTATTTGTTGGTACTAAGTTTTTCTTATTATTTATGATTTTTAAAATATCTGCCATTTCTATAGATTCCCCACTTTTATTCCTAATATAACAAATATATATACGTCTCTTCTTTTTAAAACGTGCCAAGCAATTAGCATGTTTAGAACTGTGTTATTTTTTAGGTTCAGAATTAAACTTGACACATGTTCAAGGTTGTTTTACTTTTCTGGTGAATTTTAATTTTAATCATTAAATAGTAACTTCTTACTCCTCTCTGCATTTTGTCTTAAAGCCTGTTTCACTGTCACTGGTTTTCTTTTTAGCACTTTCATCTAATAAGTTATTTTTTTTTACTGTACCCTCTACTTTTGCGTCATCTCTGTGCTCGGGTAATCGTTGGCTAAATGTTTAAGGAGAAAACACAACGTAACGTTCTCTTTTTCAACAAAGTTAGTCATTCACCTTTGTTACCACTACGGAGATATTTGGATCTACGCGGATAATCTGTAAAATAAAATTATAATCTTTTCTGCCTTTTTTCTCCTTCTTGTCTTTTCTTTCTACTCTGCTTCTCTGCCGTCTTCAGAGTGACACATGCTTTTTCCATTCTTTTAGAGTTTAACCTTAAGTTTTTAAAGTGTACTTGTATCGAGGAAATCTAAACTAGTTAACCCTCTTTCTTAAACTGTTAGGAAGGTAGAACCCTTTGCAGATTCTCCTCCTGTCATCTTCCACCTGCTGTTGTCTGACTCAGTGTAGTTTCTCCTTAACCCTTTCTTCCTGTTTTTACGTACTTGTTAGGCTTCCCGTTGTTCCTGCAGGTTACTGTTGTTCATTATTTCTTTCCTTCAGGAATTTCTTTCTTTCTTACTGAAATATATTTTTCTTTCATTGAGAGCTTCTGAGTCGCAAAATTTTTTGTCTTTGAAAATATTTTATCTTTACTCTTGAATGATGGTGTTACTTGTTCTTGCCCGGGTTCTAGGTTGGTAGTTAGGACCATTTGGAATTTGAGTATTGTACTATCTCTAGCACCCTTAAATGCATTTTTCTTTAAGTTGAATTGTTTCCTGTTTTGCACCAAAATTATCTCTGGGTAGGATTTTTTAAATTAACTTTTTATATGGAAATAATTTCAAGGTTACAGAGAGTTGCAAATTAAAACTAGTACAAAGAACAGTCCTACACACATAACCCAGATTCTTCTATTGTTAACATTTTACCCCATTTGTGTTATCATATGCACACATGTTCTCTCGTGTGACCTCTCTGTGTCAAATACACATTCACAAGAATTTTTTCTTTTGACAGTAAGTCGTGTACAACAGCTCTTTACCTGAAAATGTATCAGTATGTGTTTTTTCAGAATCCAGATAAGCCCTCCTATAACCGTAGTACAATGAAGGTTGTACCGTGATTTATATTTGTATGGTATTTTCCTCTAATCTACCAGCCACAGTACAGTTTTTTCAGTTGACTTAATGTCTTAAACCTTTCTTAATTTTTTTAACAGTATTTGTTTGTCTGACTTGTTACCTTTTTAAAGACTAAAACATTTGTCACTCAGAAGCTCTCAAGAAAGAAAAATATATTTCAGTAAGAAAATAATCCCTGATGGGAAGACGCCATCATGAGCAATGGTACCACGCCGGGCACTGTGTTGACAGCACCGTCCCTCCCTCAGTGAAAGCTCCAGGCGAGAGTCAGGGATTGCGCTGAATTTTCCAGGTCATTGACCATCTTTTATCTGGAACATATATACATACTTTTGTCATCTTTTTAATGACATTCGCATTTTTTGAAGATACTGTCCTCTTCCCTTCTTTATTTAATAGAATATCCTGAATTTTGTATTTCTCTAATGTTTGATTATGATTAGACTGAGGTTTTTGCATTCTTTGTGTAAATATTGAATAGGTGATGTTATTTCCTTTTTAAGATGTCATGGCTGGTCACAGTGGACCATGCCTATAACCCTAGCATTCTAGAAGGCCAAGGCAGGAGGGTCTCTTTGAAGTCAGGAGCTGGAGACCAGCCTGAGCAAGAGTGAGACCTTGTCTCTACAAAAAATAGAAAAATTATCTGGGCATGGTGGCAAGCATCGGTAGTCCCAGCTACTCAGGAGGCTGAAGCAGGAGGATTGCCTGACCTCAGGAGCTTGAGCTTGCAGTGAGCTATGATGATGCCACTGCATTCTAGCCAGGGTGACAGAGGGTCACTATCAGGAAAAAAAAAAAAAGATGCCACTTGTAGAGGCGTAGAGGGCTCGCCTGGCCCCTTCATGGTAACGCTGCAGGTGGTGGGGTATGAGACAGAGACGTGCATAAAACACCACCACTCGGAGGGTGGTTGTCTTTGTCTGCTATATCTACTGTGCTTCCCTTACAAGGAAACCAGTAAACAGTCTGTGAGGAGCTGCTTTAGGAATATGTAAGTATCTCATTTCTCATCAAAATGTAGCATTCTTTGATGATTCTTTCCTGATCATTGTTTTCATGGTAATTTTTCTAATTCCATATCTCTCTTTAAATCGTCAGTTCTGAACATCCCTAGCTTTTTTGTTTTTGTTTTTCAATTTGCTTTCCCCCCACTTTGTCATTACATTTTAGATTCCTATTACATTATAAACACATTTCACAAAGAATATGGATGGCCAATAAACATGAAAATTAACTTTAGTAGTAATCAAAGAAATACAAGCTAAAATAATTATTTCCTTTTTGGGCCAATCTGCTAGATTAAAGAGCTATAATATTCAGTTACTGCAAGAATGAAGTAAAATAAAGGCTGCTAGACTTTCAAAGAGAATGTAAATGTTACAGCTCTTCCCAAGGGCATTTTGGTTATGCTTTTCAAAAGGCTTAAAATTGTACAAATGTCTGTCAACCCATAAACTTCATTTTTTTTTTACTTGTAAACTTCAATTTTAGTGCTTTTTATGATGTATAACGTGTTTAAAATGTCTTTGTATTTGCTCCCTCTTGCCAATCCCTGCCCACTAATCCCCAGTTGATCTACTTTTTGTCCATATAAAATTAGTTTGCATGTTCAAGAATTTTATATAAGTGAAGTCATACAGTATTTAACCTTACATGCCAAGCTTCTTTCATTCAGCAGAATTATTTTGATATTTAAACATGTTACATATATCAATTGTTCATTTTTTGTCCTTGCTGAGCAGTAAACATACTTACTGTGTAGATCTACACCACACACATTTTGTCCATTGTTTGTTGAACATTTGGGTTGTTTCCAGTTTGGGGGCTCTTACAAATAAAACTGCTAAGAATATTTCTGCAGAAGTCTTTGGGCACAGGTCTGCGCCCCACCCCCGCCCCAGGGGAAAACCCTAAGTGTGGAGAGATCATGTTACCTGGCAGGTACGTGTTTACTGCCCAGCTCTCCAGAGTGTCACGCCATTTCACATGGCGTAGCGTGTGTGACCAAAAGCGCCAAAAGCATAGCGTGGTTCTGGCTGCTGCTCATCTGCGCCAGTATTTGGTGTGTTCTCTTTTTCTAGTTGTAGACATTCTAATCGATGAGTAGCGCTGTTTCATTGTGGCTTTAATTTGCATTTCCTTTGCAGCTAATAATATTGAAGTATTTGTTTGGTGTGCCTATATACCTCTGTGTATCTCTTTGCATTATGTTTTGGAATATGCCCTCCACTTTTTTACTGAGCTGTCTGGTTTCTTAACACTGAATTTTGTGAGATACATATGTATGTATTTTAGTCAGAAAAATAAATAAGAGTCTCAAACCATAGACACCAAAATGTTGATAGCGATTATCACAGTGTAACAGAATTTTAACTGCTTTTCGTTATATAACTTTCTCTGTGATTTCATAATGCTTTAAAATAAATATGTTTGTAATAACTATTTATAATATAAAAGTTTTTTTCCCATCTAGAAGTTAGAAATGGGCTTGGAGTCTGTAGCACAGTGGTTATGCCACCAGCCACATACACTGATGGTGGTGGGTTTGAACCCGGCCCTGGCCAGCTAAACAACAATAACAACTGCAACAAAAAAATAGCCAAGTGTTGTGGTGAGCGCCTGTAGTCCCAGCTACTTGGGAGGGTGAGGCAAGAGAATAACGTAAGCCCAAGAGTTTGAGGTTGCTGTGAGCTGTGACATCATAGCACTCTACTGAGGGCCACATAGTGAAACTCTGTCTCAAAAAAAAAAAAAAAAGAAGAAGTTAGAAATGGTATTTTAACAACTTAAGTTGTTTTAAAAGAAAGTATTTTCACTTAAATTCTTTCATAAACTTTGTGGAACATGTTTGAAGACCATGGAAATAGCTATTGCTTTTATTTAGGGATGTTTTACTAGGTATTCTGTTAACCTTGAGATGCGCTGTATAATTTTAGATGACTTGGTGTTTAATTATTTGTTAAGCAGGGAATTTTCATAGCCTGTGTTCCCCATCTTGTTGTTTGGCTGTCTTTTGCCTTCAACTTAAATAATTATCCATCTGTGCTTCAGTTAAATGCTTAAGAATTTAGTTACAAATTATTGTGGAAAATAAAGTAATAATAGGGTAGGTACCTTATTTAAATAGTTGGTAAATCTATTTTCCAGTTATATTCGTGAACGCTAAGGCCAGACTGATTTACATTTTGTACCCCTAAAAACATCATTTTGACACCGCTATGTGCTAGTTTTTACTGTTGAACTCTTTTTTTTTTTTTTAAGAAAGTACTGGTTTTTATGTGTTTGTACATATAGGAGCTCTCAAAAAACCTGGAGCTGAGTACTAGCAGTTTCCAACGACAGTTAGTTGCTGAAAGGAAAAGGGCATATGAGGCTCGTGACGAAAATAAAATTCTCCAAAAGGAGCTACAGCAACTATATCACAAGTTAAAGGTCAGAACTTCGTTTTAAATTGCATTGTTTTGTTGTAATATATATTATGTGAAAGCCAAATATTTTGGAACACCATTACTATTCATGTTTGTAAGATGGTAAAATAAAACTTTAAAATGCTGACATTATCTGGCATTTAGAAAAGGTTTATTGATATAATCACTCTCACCAAGTGAACCACAGAATATACTAATGTGAATGATGTAACTGACATAAACTGTAAAATCCTGGAAGAAAATTATGGGAACTAAATTTTTCTTTTGCTGTGTAGTTGAATTACTCAGTATTCTTCCTCAGCTCATGCCATGATCCAGTATTTTAAAGTTGTCTCAAATATGTATATGCATTTTATTTTCACAGTGTTTCGGTGGAACATTCAAATTATTTAATTTTATTAAATAAATGTTCTTAATTCTATGTAGAGCTCATTGATAGGTGGAAATTTTGCGCAAAATTGTACAAATTTATGCAGAGTTTTATTTTTGTTAATCACATTCTTAGAAAAAAACCCATAGCTCTAAAATGGCAAGAAAGCTTATATTTAAATATAGTGGTCTAATTTTTAACTCATCAATAATTCAGGATCCATTTTTGAGAGGTGCTAACTAAATTATTTGTCACGGTGGCTAAGCCTGGTTGCCAGTTAAGGTAGAACTAGCTCTATCAAGTAAGAATGGGCAGAAGATGAAGTCTGCTGTAATATTTTTTTTATTGCCAGAACATATGGGATGTTTTAGGGAAAATAACTGCTTTACCCTAACCTAAATGTATTAGAGATATTGCGTTCTGTAGTCTGGTAATTACAGAAGGAAGTTAAGCCAGGGATATTTCCGTATAGTAAAAAGAGGAAAAAACGATTGACAGAGTCAGTTTTTTTGGTTTAAGCTGAGACTCTACTTCCTTAATTGTATTGAGTTTGTTTTCAGGAAAAGGAGAGAGAACTGGATATAAAAAACATATATTCTAATCGTCTGCCAAAGAGTTCTCCAAAGAAAGAAAAAGAACGTACATCAAAAAAAAATGGTATAGTAGCTATTATTGTTGAAAAATTGATACAGCCAATTAGTTATTAATAATATAATAAATTAATTCTGAAATGGAAGGGAAAGGAAAAAACCACACTGAAACACATTTAAATTGGATGTATTCTTTACAATTTAAAATTTGTGGGGTTTTTTGAGACAAGAGCCTCACTATGTCGTCCTAGGTAGAGTGCTATGGCATCACAGCTCACAGCAGCCTCTAACTCTTGGGCTCAAGTGATTCTCTTGCCTCAGCCTCCCAAGTAGCTGGGATTACAGGTGCCGCCACAAGGCCCAGCTATTGGAGATAACTCAGAGTGGTCTTGAACTCTTGAGCTCAGGCAATCTATCTGCCTGGGCCTCCAGAGAGCTAGGATTACAGGAGTGAGAGCCTTCTAACAAGTTAAATTTTTGTAGTTAATTATCAGAAATCTTTTTAACTTTTTTAGTTTTTTCTTCAGAAGAGAGGGGAAAAAATATGGTTTACAGAATTTCTTGAGATTCCTTTATTGTGATTTAAAAAACTTTAACGAAAACATATAAACATACACACTAGGATAATGAATCTTCATTTATGAACCACGTAGCTTTAGCAATTATGCTTTTCACCAATTTTATTTGATCTTTCTTTTAACTTTTTTCTAGAGTATTTTAAAGCAAATCTCAAATGTTATGTGATTTCGCTTTTAAATACTTTGTGTTATACATAACCCTTTGCTTTTTAACAAAGGCTTAATTTCTCTCTTACGTGAATTGCAAAAATTTTTAAACTTTATAGAAACTTTATAGCATTTATAATCAGAATTTTCCCCAAATCAATAATGGCCAGTAAATATTAGAAACAAAAATAGTAAGTATTCATCGAGCTGAGCAAAACATGTATTATCTTATTTCGGTAGTAAATATATCATTTGGATTCCATATATCTTAGCATTGTTCAATGTGATTAGAAAAATTCTTTTCTAATTTTCATGGTAGCTGCATGCCAGAGTGATTTTACAGACCTGTGTACAAAAGGAGTACAAACCACTGAAGACTCAGAGGTGGAAGAATTTCCTATGATACCACAAACGATGACGTTTTATGAAAACAAATGGGGAGAACGAGAACGTCTCGCTTCGGTGAGTTTGACAACATGATTATGTGTTCAACTCTAGGCTCGCGGTTATTCCTAAGAACACAACGTCAAACATTTGAACGTTTCAGTAATGAAACTAGTGCTCTATCTGTTGGATATGTAATTAATCTTTTAAAAAGAAAGAGATGATCTCTGTGTATTTCATAAGCTTCCTTGGAATTGACTCTTTTAGTTCATGTGTCATCTCTCAGCGGCTTCAGAAAGATTTATTGTACCTTTTGGGTTAGAAGTAAAAGAGAATTTTTTTCTAAATTTCGTACCTTGCATCTGCCCACATAGTCTTGGGAAACTCTCAGTGCTTTATGTTTAAAAGCAAATTGTAGTTTTTGAATGATTTGTTAGCGTTTGATCAATGTTTCTTGGCCTCTTGGATAGGAGTATTTTACAGAATGCTGAACAAGATAATTGCAGCAGATTCTGACTTTATATCATTTAACTTAGAGTGGAATTTTTTGGGGGGGAATTGTGTTGGACCCTCATTTAAAAGGACTTTCGTACTGAATCACTTGAAGGTTTGTTTTTCTATGAGGGTATTATTAGTGCTTACAATTTAAAGTACAAAGAAAACAATATATCACAGATCTAAAATATTTCATATAATATGTTTTTGTACTTTGTAAGTTTCCCAGTGGGCCTGAGATCTCTCTTTGCCATATAAAACAGAAAGAGTGGACTGATTTGGTTCCTCATTCCTCTGTGTATACTTTTCTTACTTGTTTGTTTATTTTCATCTTATAATTCTTAACTTTAAAAGACTAAAAATAATCAGTCTTTATACTCTTAAGATTCAGCAAGAGAAGTACAACCTGATGTAGTGAAAAAAGATGGGGTTAGACCTGCTTTTTAGTTATATTTTAATTCTAACATTTACTTGTATGACTTCTTGGAGCTCAGTTTTCTCATCTGTAAAATGGGGGTTAGGCTACTTTTCAGGGTTGTGATAATGACTAATCATGAAGTTTATAAAGCTTTGAAACTGAACCCACCCCACTATAAAGGGCTTCACAAATGATAGGTTAGAGTACAGGCTAAGTTGCTATTAGAAGGAGACTCAATATAATGGATTAAATAAAAAACAGGTCTTTCTTTTGTAATGGAGTAAAGTCAGTGGGTAATTCCAGATTTCTAGGCAGCTTTACTCCATGGTAACCATCTCTTATCTTACTGAGCTTCCATTTTAGAGCATAGGACTCTTCTAATGGTCGAAGCTGCTCATCACCCCAAGGGAAGGGGGAATGGGAAGGGGAGGGCAGGCACCTTCAGTTTTCATAAATGTGATCAGAAGTTGCACACACACTTCCACTCACCTCCCATTGGCCCAGTGTGGATGCAGGCAGGTTTGCAAATGTAACCTCCAGCTGAGCAGCCCCATGTCCTGCCAAACCTCAGGAGATTGTTGCTAAAAGGAAGAAGGTGAAATGGATACTAAGATATGATTCTCTACTACACAAGTCTTTACTAATAAGAGAGGTTTTACTTTTATGAAGAAAAACTACGCATACATATTTGAAAAGGTCCATAAGAAACAAATTTTAAGTTTATAACTCTTTGATGTGATTTGAATATTATAAAATGTGTTAATTGGAAGCTTTGACATAGTATAAACTGGAAAGAGTCAATGCAGTTGTCCTTGCCTTTATAGTCAACAGAGGCTCAGTTGGCCGCCAGAGCTGGCCAATAGCCATTTCTGGTTAACTGAATTAATCAGGTTTTGCTGTGAAAATGTACAAAGCAAGGATACTTCTGAAACTTGTCTCTTCAGAACTCTATGTAGGGCTTTTGCTTTACTTCGATTGTTCTGATTCTAATATGTCTTATAAAGACTTCTTTAAAATTTTAACTGAAGTAAATAATCCTGTGTGTTTTTTAAGTATCTTTCAAAGGGTGGTAATTTGTGACTTGCTGGTTTATTAATTGAAAATTGGCTTTAATTTTTAACTTACTTGGTAATCATATTTATGGAAGATAAATCTATGATTTTTAATAGTTTTTCCCCTTTTTCTATGTGTGAACTTGCATTTTAAAAAATGTGTACTAGGACCTGGAACCCCAGGAGGGAGATAAACCTGGAGGAGCAAGGATGCTAAATCCATTTGTGGAAAGAGAAGAAAAATTCATGAAAGATCAAGGACTTCGTTTTGCAAAACAGGAGATGGAGAAGCTGGAGGATGGTAAGAAAAAGAGTTTGTTTAAGCAAGTGACGAATCAGTGTCCCTTGGGAAAGAAAAGGTTCACCTCCCTGAACGACTTCCAGCTGCGTTCTGAGTTGGTCGTCTAGAACAAGACAGGGCTGGTGCAGTAGCAGTGCGTGGGCATATCAGGAGCTGCAACCGTTGGAATACGGTTATTAGCGAAAGAAAAAAAAATTGAAGACTGTAAGTCAGTCGTTATTTGGGGCTAAGGAATAAGGACACGTTACCTTTGGAAAATTGAGATAAAGGAAGGAATTCTTTGTATATGAACTAAAGCTCAGTGGAGGCACAATTGAAAGACAGTCGTCTTTATTGACACTCTCTAGCCCACACCAGCTTAAGCATGGAAATCAATGAATTATGAGGTTCTGAATATAGTCCTATAGTTTTTCATTAGTTTTAATGTATAATATAAATCTTTAGTATGTTCAACCATTAATGTGGAAGTTTAGTGAGCCAATACTGAGTTTCAGATAGGAAAATGAAGCTTTTAGAATAAATTCATTTCTATCTGGATAAAATGGCTTCCAAGTGTGGGCAAGAGGGATCCCAACTCTAATCTTTGAATGTATTCTATTAGTTATGTAATAGCTGCTTACAGAGGAATACCTTTTTTTTCCCCTTTAGCTGAAGATAGTGGAACATAAAATCATAAGCCATGGCTGCTTAGAGTGTGTGTGTATATACGTGTGTGTATGTGTGTGGGGGGAGGTATCTGCTTAGAGTGTGTGTATATATGTGTGTAGGTGTGTGGGGGAGGTATCTGCTTGGAGTGTGTGTGTATATATGTGTGTAGGTGTGTGGGGGAGGTATCTGCTTGGAGTGTGTGTGTATATATGTGTGTAGGTGTGTGTGTGGGGTATCTGCTTGGAGTGTGTGTGTATATATGTGTGTATGTGTGGGGGGGAGGTATCTGCTTGGAGTGTGTGTATATATATGTGTGTAGGTGTGTGTGTGAGAGGTATCTGCTTGCAGTGTGTGTGTATATATGTGTATATGTGTGGGGGGGAGGTATCTGCTTAGAGTGTGTGTGTATATATGTGTGTATGTGTGTGTGGGAAGGTATCTGCTTGGAGTGTGTGTGTATATATGTGTGTATGTGTGGGGGGGGAGGTATCTGCTTGGAGTGTGTGTATATATATGTGTGTAGGTGTGTGTGTGGGGTATCTGCTTGGAGTGTGTGTGTATATATGTGTGTATGTGTGGGGGGGAGGTATCTGCTTGGAGTGT